TTATATGAAAAATCACCGTTTTTTACAGACTCTAATAAAACCTTAGAAATGACCATTGTTCAAAAAAAAAAAAAAAAAAATAGTGTCAGCCTTAACTAATAATAAATGTGAATACAATAACTTATATCACCTTGCTTAAAGCTGCTCTTCCTTGAATTGCGGCGACATAGAAAGATTCTGGATGGCAATGACCATCTGATATTTTTTATAGTTGTTTTTTTTTTTGTTTTTTTTTTTTTTTTTTTAGAAAAATATTAAGTATATATACACAACTTTGAATATAACGAGCCTTTTTTATTTTAAGCTCACTCTATAGCGAACTTCTTTTTAATAAAATTATGGCAGTGTTTGGTATAAAAAAAATAGTAAATGACTCTATATAATTTCTTTAATATAGGAACGGCTAGTTCGTTGTAGAGTTGATTTATTAAAAAGATGACTTTTATAGTACCTGTACTAAATAGTAATTTATTACTTGGACAAATCTCAAACTATTCAAAAAAAAGTCATCAGTTATATGATAAATTTATAAAAGATTTCAATCTGAAAAATATATAAATTACCAGTTCACGTAAAATGGATTGCTGACCAGACGCAGAAATTAAAGGAAAAACAAGACCCGTATCAACATACACATTGGAATATATAGAGGAAAGATATCCTGCCTGGCGAGTGTAAGGATACGCCGCATGCAAAAGAACGAACTTTGCATTGGGATGTTTTTCAATTAACGGTCTTAATGGAAAGAGAATATTGATTAGTCATAAGGATACAGTTGTTAATTTGAAAGCATTTGAATAAGTATACAAATAAAAATATTCATACCGTAACAAAAGTGGGTTAGATATAACCAGATCAAGGTCAGAATCACCAAATCCTATGTTAACATGTATATATATTTAATAATCGATAAGATGTGAATTAAAGATAAAAGCACAATATTTATATAGCGTGCCTGTATGAAATTGGATAGGAATATCATACTGGACAGCAATGTCGATTGCCAACTTCAATATGTGATCAGTTAGAACTTTATTAACAAGCTTAACAGATCCTTTCTTATCAGATAATGACTTAAAATCCGTAATAATGTTTTTTAAAGCAACAGTAATAGCTTCAGGATTTGAATCACAATTGATATTCAATCCTGACCTATAAGCAGCAATACTTTTGAAGGCCGCCACTGATTCAGATTTTGCATAGGTCTCAAATTGTTTTTTTAATGATTCTTCGAACGCTTCAAAATTCAACACTTTTTGATCTTTACAAGTTGCAGACATTGCCAAATCATACAAGGTCTTTTCCGCAATACTTTCGATTCTCACGATTCTTCGCGCTACGTCAACTAATTCTACATGACTTTGCACACCCATAAGATCACCTAACGCGTCAAGCCCATCATCCAAAAGCAAGGCCTGGATTCCAGTAGGTTTAAAGCAAGTTTTATATATGTCAATATATGACATTAGAGCTTTCACTTGTTTGATATTATCTAATGTTGGTGGGCAATTATAAAGTTCAGCAAGCTGGCGTACACCTCGTTTCAAGGTACTAGTTTGAGGCATGTTTTTTAACGCATCACCATGAGCCTCCGAAAAGCATACTTCTAATGGACAAATCAACGATGCATCAGATGTTAAAAGATTATGACAGTGATTGTCAATTAAAGGAAAAGTAGATACTATTCTGAGCAATGCTTCACGATCGTATACAACGTTGTTCATATTCAGGTAAAATAGTAAAATCTGTAATGATATAGATAAATTACGGTTTAAATATAATACTTTTGACTTCCCGCCTGATGTAAGAACAATTTATAGGACAATTTATATTCTTGAAAAAAAATTTTTTTTAATTAATTCGATAATTTATTCATATATACATCCAATTTAGTTTTTCATTGAAGATAAACAGCTGATAACTCCTTACGTACGTACGTACGTTGTGAAGGGGAAGATCGTTGCTTGAAGTAGGTTTTTCTATATTTGTCG